CCCCAAAACCCCAAAACCCCAAAACCCCAAAACCCCTATTAAAGACTTGAATATTGAATTACTGCTTATGGAACATATGGTTTACTAAGTAGTCCATCATCATATTTTTAAAGCTTCCTTGATACTTACGAGTGCCATAAAGAGGAGAATGGTCGACCCCCAGAACCTCATCACTCTTCTGATGATGAATTCTAGAAGGCCAAGCTTTGAGGTTGTTTACTGTTTCTGGGCTGAAAGAGATCATACTTTTTCACCTACCTGTAAAGTTCAAGTGCAGAGTTGTCGAGTTCGTATTTAAAAGTGCTCAAGCAGCCGGAAATAGCTGCTGCAAAGTCATGCATTTGGATGCTATACCCACTGAAAAAGATGTCTTTCGGGAGATCCTTCTTTCCATAAGGGCTGATAAACCTGGAGATTATGCCACTAGCTTACTTATTTACTCTGATCATATCTCCAATCATCTTTCAGGCTCTTTCAGACGTGAGGAAGGAGAATTCGTTCTGCAGTGGGGGTACCAGAGTTGCCTCTGGAGAAATTTGAAACTTATCAAACCCTTTCAGTAACATTTTATACAACATATAAGCAGAAGAGTTCATTCCTGGATTCGAATAAGCTAGGATTAGAGGGAAATAAACAGAATGCACATTCTTAACCCCTTTCATTGAGTTCATTAAAGAAGTGATGATCAATTTGTTGTACATTTCTGGATTCCTATCACTATTGTGTGCCAAAGAGAGCAACTTGTTAACTGCTTCCTGAGAGTCAATGGCAACATCTCCTTCTTTATTAGTAAGGATTTGAGAGTAATGTTTCAAATTTTGAAATACAAAGACTTGTCTATAATCTAACTCAGCTCACTCAGTGATGAGATCTCGAAGAAGATATGCCACAGGGAGTTTGACCTCGGTGTAACCCTCTGGTATGTCTTTATCACTTCGTGTATTATTTTCTGGAGAGCCACTGATGATTCTACCTGCAGGGCTAATATACATCTTGCCGTATTCTGTATTATAGTCTTCATCTGTCCAGCCATCAGTAAAGACCATGATTCTTTGTATCTCATTCGTTCTTATATAAAATCCTCAATTTTCTCCCCATTCATCTTATCCAACTTAGGATGTTTAAAGAAGAATTTATTGCTAAATTCTTTCCCTCTGTGAGTACTTGAAGTATGCTGAGGGAAACTATATTTCAATGAGATTTCAAGCTCCTTCTTGATCCAGTTATGACTACTCCTAAGATCTTCATCTGGGTTATAAGTATCCTTTGGACAGATTACCCAGGTTGGGCCTACATACACTTCTTCATCAATATTTGAAGTATTATGTCCTTCTGTATAAACTGACCTCCTCAGGCCAGGAAGTTCATTTCTGACAACTTTGTTCCTATTTTTCCTCTTGGCAAATCCCCTTTTCGCCACTGCGAAAAGGGCATTGTTTGTGAATCTGAATTTGTTCGTGCAAAGCTTTGACCTGAAGGCTAGCATTTATGGTCTAAATTTTTCAATAATTTTATAAATGAGTGGGGTTTTGGGGTTTTGGGGTTTTGGGGTTTTGGGG